ACAAAATATAGAAACTCATTCAAAACAATCTATATCCTAGGTTCTATTACATAGCTCCATCTCACAGCATTTTCTTGATTCTTCTTTGACTTTGTTTTTGTGCTACAAGTTGTTGTTCTCATGTTGTGATCATCAAAACTCTTTAAGCTTTTCCTAAGCTCAACAGCATAGGGAGTACGTTTTCAAATACAAGGGAAGATATACTATTTTTGAAACAGAAGGATATCTTCTATTTTTATTTTCCTTATGATTCACATGACGTGGCGCCCTTTTTCCTTCCTCGTGTAGAATATCATACAACTCGCATTAATTTTAGGGTAGAGGATTTGTCGTTTCAAGCGAAAATCCCAAATGAAGGTTTTGTCATTTAATAATTTAATCATTTTATTCCTTTAATTGTAGATAATGTTTGTCTCCGACCCCTGAATTTATTAGTGAAGATTGTTCAAAGAGACTATGACAAACCGGATTTTCATACGTAGAACAAGAAGTTTATACTCTTCATTGGACGAAGAGTTTTGGACGTTGTAATTTCTTACAGCATTTTGAGGGATATTGAGATGCAGTGGTTTACTGCATTTGCTTTTCTAATGTGGTTCTAACTATACAAAGTGGTACATGTATGAGTATTCTGGTGCATCAAATGTGATCTACTTTTATATAGAACATGCTTTATTTGAGTAGGTCAGATGATACCTGTTTTACCTATACCAATCGTTCTTCTTCCCTGCTTTTCAGTTTTCCTTTGTCCTTGTTCTCTCATGGAACATTGTGTACCCTTGCATTGTTAGATGCTCAACCCAAAGGGTGAAGCTCTGATACTAATTAAAATTAGACGAAAAACACATAGAAGGGGGGGTTGAATATGTATGTGTATGTGAGCAAAGGAATTTTAAAAACTTTTCGCAATAAGGATTTCTTTCGTCCAGTAAAAACAATATTAGTGAATGCTTGAACAGAAACTCCCTAGGGTTGGTTTAACAAAATCATTTTCAGTCTGGGAGTTTTATTGTCTGTTTAGATTAAAGTGTTTCTTTAAACGAAAATCGTTCTTTAGGATGATAATTTGAACAAGTATGGCTTTCGTTTGAAGATGGTATTCAATAGACAATAATCATTGGACGAAGTTTTTAGTGGAGTAGATTAACCAAATAAAGTGCATCTGAAACATAAAGGTGTTGCAAGTATTTTTATACTGGTTCACTCAAACTGAGCTACGTCTAGTCTCCTTCAAATGAAGGGTTTCACTAGATAAACAATAAAGTACAAGTATTGTTTATTCAGCCTCTTTGATGTTGTGTATTTTACTCGTATTTTAGCACTTTAAATACTTGCTCCTAAGGTGGGATATTTTCACTTCTTCTCTTACCTTAGAAATGACCCCCAAGATAACAAGCATGATCTTTTATGTTCCAAGGCTACTCCATGCATTTCTATAAGTTTTCCTCTAAGTTTTTCCTTTGCAAGTATTCTTAGGGTCTAAAAATTAACATGTATGACCTAACCCTTCCTCTTTTATGTAGGGTTGAAGCAAAGAGTTCAAATCCAAAAGCTTCCCACAAATCCATAGTCTATCATTATTTTATTTAGTAAAAACATTCATCATTTATATTATAAATTTTATTAATAAATTAACTTTATAATATAAATATTAATAAAAAAATTTATTTTATTTTTATTTTTGGAAAATAAAATGTTACAATTATGTTTTGGGAGGACAAATGGATAGGGAAGAAGATTCGAGAATAAAATATGATAGACTATATCTAAACTTATAACAATATAGATGTATGGTGGGACAGTATGAGGAATTGGTTAAGGAGTTGCTATGAATGGAAGTTGGATAAGGGATTAGTTTTAATTAGAGAAAGTTGATGGTAGAAAAACTGGTGGAAGATATAAATACACAGTAAAGTCAAGATGTGGGTTAAGAGATTGTTGGGTATAAAGAAAGGAAGATAATTCTTGGAAGTACACATTTAAATTTTCCTACACTTTTGGTACATGAACAAAGTATTCTTATAAGCACCTTTTTCTTTATATGCTTTTGGTGCACATGTACACTAGTACCTACCTAACGTCGAAGCTTTTGCAAGGAGGGTGTTACTTGATAGAATTCAAACAAATTAGAGGCCTCTATACCTAAAAAAGACAAATGCCATTTTATAGAAGTTTCATGTCCATTGTATAGTCTAGTTGAAAACACTACTTGTTATATCGTATGTTTTCTCATTCATTATCTTCTCCATATGGAAATTAATGTTACAACTGCATGTGAGCTAAGTAGTCATCACCCGTGACAATATAAGCCACTTCTTTTTACAAATTGTGTATGGTATCTAGGAACAAATTAAATTTAGAATGCTCAACGGGTTTATGTAGATGTATCGTGAATTTTGTTGAACATAATAAAATTTAGATCTTTGCTGTGATATAGTTAAGTGCTAAGGTATTGAGGTGAAGGTGTTTTTAATTTCTTATTATATATGAATGGTCAGCAAATTCCATATACTAGTAATATATATGTATTTTGTATATTTTCTTAATTAGTAAAAATAATAGATAAGGAATAACATTTCCAAGATTATCGAGCAACGGAGTAAAAAATCAATAAAATTTAAGGATTTTCAGATCAAATGTTATTTTTCACTTAGTAGTAAACAATAGTTAGTAGTGTCTAATTTAACACAAGACTTGTTGAATAGAGAGTACAACAGAGACTCATTAGAAGAATTTCACCTCTGACACCAAAAGGATCTCTTTAAATAAGTATGTCCACTAAAGTAAGATTTTAACGTTTATAGGATGTTGAACTTGCATTATGAGAAATGTAAGCTCAAACCATATCCCACACATTTGTCTTTAATTTATACTTTTAATTTATATATTTTGTCTCTATTGATAAGAAAAAATAAAACTTACAATGTAAAATAGTTAGTAGTACACAAGACTTGTTGAACAAAGAGTACAACAAAAATCTATTAGAAGAATTTTACCTCTAACACCAAAAGATCTATTTAAATACGTATGTCTACTAAAATAAGATTTTAATGTTTATAGGGTGTTGAACTTGCATTAGGAGAAATGCAAGCTCAAACCATATCCCACACATTTGTCTTTCATTTATACTTTTAATTATATATATATTTTGTCTCTGCTAATAAGAAAAAAATAAATATTACAATGTAATTCTAGTTGAATAAATTTTGATATAATTAATAAGATTCTCATAAAATAGTTTGTGTCGAGCAAGTTAAAATAATCAATAAAATTTTAATATTATAAATATTTTTATCAACTAATGTAATGACATATAGATACTAAATAGTTACAAATACTCAAGTGACACTCTTTGTTGTTTTTTTTCTATCTTTCTTCTTGTGATATCAAATTACCACTAATAAGAATTATTATTTAACGATACATATTCTATGAAGGTATAATATTTATTATTAAAAATTAATTTTATCTATATTATAATACATATTAATATATTATTAAAAAATATGAATATAAATTATAATAACACATAATATATATATATTTTAAATCTCATTTAAAATAATATTAAATTTTATATAATTATATATCATATAGATTTATATTTTCATATATTATTTTTTAATTAAATTTTTTTTTTTGCATGTGTAACATTAATTTCTCGTGGTGTACCAATTATTTCAATCAGTTATGTGTCACTCTTTCAAAGTGACTTTAGCCCGTGACTGTCCAGTATCTTCTTAATGACCCATCACCACCACTTGTCGGCCATACAAAAAAGAAAGGGAGAATTATGGATACAATTCAAACCTTAATTAAACTCGAACATGGTCGTGATTCGTTAATCTAAGACATGTCGAACACAATAAATTCATACCCAAAAAACAGTTTATATAAGATGGTGGCGCCGAATATTGCGACAAAGTAGCTTTACTATATAAGTTCTATATTATATTATGATATATACTTTATACATTTATAGATGAATTGGCCAATTAATATATTAACCTGACTTGGAGCAATATTATCTGTTTTGGATTCATTTTCACCTCGTTGACGACCCAAGTCGTTCACCATTGCAACAATAGTTGAAAGCCATAGAGGAAGGAAAGAATCTAAAGGATGTTCCTTGAGCACTTTTTCTGTTATCATGGGGCCACTTTCTTCTATAAATCCCCACTCCTTCATTCAACACCACGCCACTACCACTCCCACCATCTTGTTCTTCTTCGGGTAATTTCTATTTCTCCATTCCACTTCTGTTTTCTTTTTCCTTTTTTTTATTAGTATTTTTTTTTATTATAAATCAGAATAACCTAAAGTTAAAGAACAACTCTTCGAAATATGGGATCTGCTAAAACAACTGAACTCTTCTAACAAGTTTTTTTTTTTCCTTTTTTTTTCTTTCATACACATAAATTAGATGTACGTGGTGTTTGATCTTAACCTACACTTGTTTCAGTTCTATTTTCTGCTCTTTTTTCCCTTCAGTTATGGACCCTTTGAATACCCCTCAGTTCTGGATTTTTTTTTTTTAATCTATTACTAGTCGACCAAGAATCCCACCAGATCTATGAATTAAATACGTTTTTTTCATACAATTTTGAATTTTTTATTTTAGTTTTATTTTCCCAAACCACTCTTTGATATCATTGATCATTTTTGTGCAGGCATTCAAGGGTAGGAGGAAAAGCTGCCGACAAAAGTTATATTTTGAGGTACGCAGCTTTAACAATTTCTTCATTAGATTGAAATTTCAGACACAGGTTAGGAAGCAACAATTGCCGTACAATAACTAGCCAAAAGTTGGGGTAGATGGAGAACATTAGCATATGTCCCCACCACCTCGTTTTGCATGTGCTTCTCATTAATATATTCTTTTAAGAGAAATTTTAATATATTTTTTTTCTTGAGATAAAGTTTGGTTATGCTTGTTGCATTTGTTTTAGGCTTCCTCATACTCCATTTATAATAATCCATATATATTATAAATAAATATAAGGATTAGTTTAATCCTCGTACTTGTCATGTTCTGTGTCGCGTTATGACCTACGACCATGAGTTAGAGTATATAAGTTGGGACAAGACTCACCTAACAAGTTGATTTGTATGGTTGAGTGTTAGACTTGTAATCTACAAGCTTAGAATTTAAAAGATTATGTATCACATGTTGAAGGCATGGAAACAAATCCTTCGGATGAATTCTTTATGAACATTTGAAGCTGAAGAATTATTGATAGAATTTATAATAATTTTTTTTAATTTTTTTTTGTAAAAAAATATTTTTGCAGAATTTCTTGCGAAAAAATTTGCAAAAAACTTTCCTGCGAAATTTTTTTTTGCAGGAAACTTTCCTACAAATTTTTTTCACAAGAAATTTCGTAGGAAAATTTTCCGTGAATTTTAAAATTCGCAAAAATATATTATCCACGAAGTAATTACCTACAGATAAAATTTCGCAGAAAAATTTGTAGGAATAACTTTTCCTGCAAATTTTTCATAAAAATTCACAAAAAAAATCGCATGTAATAAGAGAAATTCTAGTAGTGTAAGTATATGTAAGAATGATAGCTTTTTTTGATCTATTGAAGAATGAGCACTTAGCAAAAGATTATTCACACTTTGATTCTACATTCCAACATTGTAGTTCTTTTCATAGGAGCACTGAAAAAGATACATTAGAGGAGAGAATATCATTGAGCTAAAGGTACAACAAGTGTCACATAGGAGAGAACTCTATGATACAATTGATATTTGCAAGTGTGAGTGTGCATAATACCATATTTGGTTAAGCATTTGTAAAATGTGTTTTGTTCTTAACCATAAAGGTATGACTAGTACATAATCAATCCATAATTTATGCATACAACAAAATAACAGACTCTATTATTTTTATTTAAAAGATGTGTGTTGGTAATTAATTGCAAATAAAATAATATATCCATACATTCCACGAAATCAATACATAAGGCATAACACCCATATTGTAGCAACCTCGGTCGCGACGGGACGACGAAAAATAAATTGAAAAAGAGGGAGTCGCCACCAATGTTGTTTTTTTTACGGAAAAACATTGTAAAAACCATAAGATAGAAAATAGCCTACGAAAACCAAATTTTGAGTTCGGGAGTCGATTACGTGTGAGGAAGGTATTAGCACCTCACAACGTTCGTCCTAAGATGATTACCTTTAATTAATTAAACTAATTATTTATAATTTATAAAATATTTATCTCACTAAAATGATTAAATATATTTTATTTAACTAATTTAAATTATTGCATTGAAAAAAGGTTAAAATTATTATTGTTATATAAAAAGGAGGATAATATATTTTTTATTTTTTGGCTCGACAAGATTTATTTCTTGCTCCTACGTATCTTCATGTGTAATGAAGAATCAGAGTCACGTAGTTCTTTGGTAGAAAATATTTGTGTGTTAACATTTTTTAATTAAATTTTATTTTTGTAAAATGTATGATTTTTGAACTGTCTCAACTCATTCACCCTAAAAATATAATATTGACTAAGGTGTACACCAAAGTCAATTCAATAAAATTTTAATTATAATTATTGCTAGAGAAGTTATGATGTTAAAAAATTTATTAATTGGACATTTTCTTTTTTTGGAGAAAAAATTTAAAGATAAGCTGTCACAACTTGTACTTTAAATTCAAAGGTTAAAAAAATGTCACATCTAGTTAACCATTCCTCCAATAAAATTTCTAATACAATAGTTTCAGATATTTACATTAAATATTGTAACATTATATTTTGATATTTAATCACATTTTGGATTTAAATAAAGACTAATGACAGATATTATTAATATAAAAAATAATAATAATAAAAGAAGTGAGTTCAATGTACTCACAATTGTTTGTGACAGAAGTGGTAACTTGCTAGTCTCTTCCTTTGGGTTCTCTCTGGTCCAAGGTGGAGATGTGTGGGTTTGGGGTGTGTGTAGTTGTGTTTTGGGAAGGCAAGGTCCGCTATTTATAGACTTTCAGGAGGGACCGAAACGACCCGTTCTGAATCCGGAACGGCCTGTTTCGGGGTTGCAATTTTACTCACAACGGCCATTTTCGGAACGGGCTGTTCCAATTTCGGAACGGCCCGTTCTGGGCTAGAATATAGAGGTCATTTGGTAGTTTGGGAATGGCCCGTTCCGGGCTAGAAATTATAGTTCTTTTTTGAAGGTTGGAACGGCCCGTTCCAGTTTGGGAACGGCCCGTTCCGGGCTAGAATTTATAGTTGTTTTTGGAAGGTTGGAACGGCCCGTTCTGAATCCAGAACGGCCCGTTCCCGCCTAGAAATTTTAGGGCTTTTTCTGAAGGTTGGAACGACCCGTTCCAGTTTTGGAACAGCCCGTTCTGTGCTTCTAAAATCATATCAAAATTACTAAATTACCCTCCATAAAAATATAAAAAATGAGGTGTTACATTTGCCTTCTATATTTTTGTCTTTCTTATTCTTTTTTGTACATACCTTTTTTGCTATTTTTTTAAACAAAAATTGACATTTCTCGGACGAAATTGGGTTACTACACATATACATAACACTTACGACTTGTTTGAGTAAGTTTCTTACAATGCACTTATAGGAGAGAAAAATATGAAAGCAAAATGAAAGGAGTTTCTCCATAAGTTAAAATTAGCTTACTCATAAGCTAATTAGTAGAAGCTATCTTTTATTGACTTTTCCAAAGTCTTATTTTAACTTATGCATAAGCTATTTTTGATTTATGGAGAAGCTTATATTCCTTTTTCTTCCTACTTTTCTCTTTTAAAAGTGGTTATAGAGAAACTTATCTAAACATGTCCTAAGGGTCTTAGAATATGGGTTTAGACCTAATTCAACCCTGCAAAATCGGCTTGTATGATGAGGGTTTTCTTTTCACTTATATACTATTTGTTTGTCCTTTCTCTAATCTCTTGGAACTTGAGTTTTTTTCAATACATTCCCTCAAGTCTAACACTATTAGACTTGGTGTATGGATAAATGGTGAGTAACTATTTTTAATGATTAGGACAAACGAGACTTTAGTTTTATCCAATACACCCCCTCACGCAACACTTTTAGGCTTGATACATAGATAAATTTGGTGGGTGACCCTATAAAGTGAGTCTAGGATATTTCTGATACCACCTTAGTATGTGAGTTTAGGCCTAATTCAACCTTACAAAAATGAGACAAAGATCATTGGATCCTTGTGTATAAAAAGTAGGAGTGGCAATGAATCCATTTATTCATCATTCATCATCCATTCGATCCATCAACAAGTAAATTTATTCAATTCATCAATTACAATAAAAATAAAAATAAATTGAATTCAATCCATTCATCGAATTTTATGGATGGTTACTGATTCATCCATTACTTTTTCAAAATCCATTGGGTTAATATGAGATATTTATTGGATTGAGATTTAAAAGACTATTTTAACATATAAAAAAATCTTATGAATTTTAAAAGACTATATAAGAAGGAAATGACTTAAAAAGAAAAAAGTGAAAAAATATTTCAAAAAATATTATTTAATTTTTAAAACATTACTTTTATGGATGGATTGAATATCCATCCATGAAAAATTGTTGATGGATGGATTGTATGCCTTTTTTTTTATTACTTTAAATGGATTGAATTTTATGTAAATTTTTTCATAAATCTAAATAAATTAATGAATTATTTTTATCTGATCTATTATGATCTACCTTAAAAAAATATCCAATCTATTTATTTGTCACCTCTATTAAAAAGTTATTGGACGTTTAATAAAAAATGTCATTAGACATCGTGAATTTCTTTATGATAGTTCATTAAAAACATCTATTTTATCAAGACTCTTAGAATAAAGTATTTAGACTCAATTTGTTATCATCAAAACTTTATGAAAATAGACTTTTATGTCTTTGGTTCTAACATTGTTTCATATGTAGTTTTATATTTATTTCTTTTTATCCTTAAAATGTTTATTAAATTTCTTTTTTACTAGTTTTCTTACATAAATTAGAATGATATTATACTTTCTTTTGTTTATCTTCTTTCTCTCATTAGCTCATCCAACACACTAATCAACTAGTTGATTGTCACTCTTATCTTTTTCATACCTTTTTTTCCTAGGTAATGCTCACATATTAATGATAGCTTATAAATCCTTAGTCTCATAATAAGTGACATCCTAAATTATTTTACATAGATAAAAAAGTTAATAATAGATAAGAGAGAATATTGATTTTACAAAATTAACCTTATAAATAATTTTTTTAGGAAAGTTTCCTAAAAAAAAAATTGCAGGAAAGTTTCTTGCGAATTTTTTCGCAAGAAATTTTGCAGGAATATTTATTACAAAAAAATTAAAGAAATTACTATAAATTCTATCAATAATTTTTCAACTTTCAAATGCTCACAATGAATTCATTTGAAGCATTTGTTTCCATGTCTCCAACATGTGATACATAATCTTTTAAATTCTATGATTGTAGATTATAAGCCTAACACTCAACCATATAAATCAACTTGTAAGGTAAGTGTTGCCCCAACTTATATACTCTTTAATTGCTTTATTTTCAATCAATGTGGGACTCGAAGTTTTTTTTAAATATTAAAATTATAAATTTAAATATATATTTTTTTATTTTTCTTGCAAATTAAAATTTGTAGGAAAATCCGCAAGAAAAGTTACCTGTAAAATTTTTCTACCATTTAGTAAACATTACTTGCGAATTTATTTTTGCACGAAAATCTGCAAGAAACAAAATAAAATTCTTACAATATTTTCTTCACTTCTGGCTCGTCAACC